AAAAAAAAAAGCTAAGGAAACTCTAGCAATACAAGTACTTCAACCCTAATTAATTAGGCAGGAAAATTGTATGCTAGAACTGCAATTGTATATGGTCTATTCTTCTTTACATTAATTGAAAAAGTTATATTAACACCAATAATCCAACTACTCAGTTTCTAAAATTAACACCCAGGCTATAAGGTTCCCAATAATTATAATAATTTTCAATTATTTCGCACAAGTACCGGTTCGACAGTCATGTAATCGACGCGTGCTTATTATGAATTTCGCAATACCGCATTGTGCGATAACTTACTTGTACGGTAAACCACAATACTGAATGTTCGAAATTTCCTTATCACTTCACTTAACATGCCTCCTTACATAGGTTCATTGGTTATTGCTTAAAAAATTAATTCGAAACTGATAACTTGCTAACTTAGTACGGCAAAAAGCATTTTACTAAATTTAGTACTCACATATTTATTGCTATGAAAATAGCAATTTTACTATGTTGTTGAAAGTCTGAACACCAATAGAAAATACTAAATAAAGCTAAAATAACTAACATTGAAATGGAATGGAAAGATGTTTCCTGTATTAATGGAATGATCAAAACAATACACTCCTCTATTTCAGACTATCATAAGGTTTACAATTATTTAAAAATAATACAATAGTTGTTATAATAAGTGTAGTCATGATTGAATTTAATACTTGTATCTTTATTTTAGTGTAGAGCTTTATTTTAGGGTATCGGAGGCTAAGAAGTTTAATCACTTACATGTACTCCACAGGTCTTGGGTTCATATCCTACAATGTACCAATGTGATTTACGATTTAACGAAAATCTTATGTACATAATTTACCCAATGTTCTTATGGTGAAGGAAAACATTGTGATGCTGCACATATATGTGAAAAAATTCAAAGATATGTGTGAAGTCAACCAACCCGCAGCATGTCTAACATGATTAACTATGGTCTAGTCACCCCGACTTGTATTTTATAAAACTTGTATTCAAAGTTTGTTGTTGTATTTATTACAAATACTTTATGCAAGAAAGGTTAGCTTGGAAAAGTTTAAAAATAGCTTCAGTTCAAATATAAATAGCTTCAGATATCAGTGATTATAATCATACTTGCTTACATTTCATTCTTCTCAAGAGACATATTCTATGATTCTTACTGGATTTTTAAATTTGTAGTAAATGTAGATATTTATGTTAAATTTAATTCTGTACTGATTTATGTGGTTTAAGACAAGCTAATGTAGAATGTTTTTTAGCCTAAGCATTACTTTAAGTACAGTAAATTAACAATTGGAATAAAAGACAAATAATTTGTAATTTTTCATTGGAAAACATTTTAAATCATGCTATAAAATACGGCAATAAATTAAATGAGACTTTAGTTCGGCCTAAAATATACAGTAGTGATATTAGATAAAAATAGATTCATGTTAAAATATAAAAAAACAATTATAAAGGTAAAACTGAGTTGCAAAAGCTTACCAGAACTCGATAAACTTTCTATTTCAACTTGATGTAAACATGCTAGATGACAATCACCACTGTTACTTGATTTAATTTAAACTACTTTATTCTCATACAAAAAAGTACAACGTTCATACACACAAGTTATTTCACGAACGATAATTTTAAATTAATTAAAATAAAAAACAACACCCCACACTCGCTTTTGGTGCCAACTATTCATTTGTCACTGTCAGTGTCAACTCTTAAAATGACGGTAGACTTTTTTATGGCCTGGTTACTGGACTTTTAAGCCAACGTATGACGTTTATGTTGTAGGTTCTGTTTGGATACTCGTCTCATATGCTAATTTTATGGCTTCCAATAGATCGCATGAGTAAATAAACATCAAATATCATAGATTGCGACCATTTAAATTTTTCATTTGTTTTGCAAATTTGTATAAAGTTATATTTTTATCGTTCATAGTATTTCGGCATTAACGAATTTTAATGCACTGCATTAAGTTCAATTCGTTTTTTTTTTAAATCTTAAGATACAAATTCACATGCTACTTGTATACGGGTATATTTATTTTTGATTAAACTTAAGACACAAATGCTTATGTACTTAAGAGTAGAATAAATCGGTGCGCTGTTAGTTTTGAATAATTACTGCTAAGTGTTTTCAACATTTCCTTCAAATAGCTCGTAGCTCTTTGAACAAGCAATCGAACGTTATTAAATATTGATGCATGCTAAAAGCGCGCAAAGTGCTCAATTTAAAATGCACCAGTAACGAATAAATTAGTCAGTAAATATTGTACTTTGCTTACTAGTATCCCTCGAGGTATCCTAGAAAAATGTTTTTGTTATAACTAATAAAAACAAACGCGGAGTTTTCTGTAAGATTCTCGTTGAATACAACAGCTGCTATTACTCCCGTGCAAGTCGTACCGGAAAATTTATTATCTACGTCTATTCTTCATAAGAAAACTTTACTATTGTAAGACAAGCAGTTCACATTAGATTTATTAATGAATACAGTTTAACAACGTTAATAACTTTAAGATGGTTTTCGATATTGACCAACTTTACAATCTGTAAAAATATGTAATTGGTTTCTGCCCCTTTCAGAGAGTCTTTATTCATACTTTTTCGATCGTTATTACTTTCGTGGGCTATGTACAATATTAACATTACTATTAGAAACTTATTAGAACACAAATACAACCTTATACTTGTACATTATTCACGTTATGTACATGCACAGGGTATCTTGACTCGTTGGCAATGTGTTTGATTGGATTCTCTGTTTGAATCGGGTTAATATGGCCCTGTTTATAGGTTAACTGCTTTCGGTTTGATTAAATGACATATTGTTTGACTCGTGATTGTTGCGGTTACATTAGGGATGCGACGCTCCCTTAATTTTAATATGTTAAGGGATTATTTGGAGTTCTATTCTCTATGTATTTTCTCGACGTATTTAGGGCTAGAATTCAATTATATATGTAGTATGAAATATATGATAACCCGTATTGATTCAAGTTCTATTTTTAAAAAGTAAAACTATAATTATGCGTCTGAAATTAAAAAATGTTGCCCTTATGTACTAAGGTATTTTCTTTGTGGTAATTAAATTTTATTGTGTATTGTAGAAAAGAGGCTAAGTGCCAAATTATAGATTTTCTCAAGCTGTTTTTGTGGCATCATAAAAAACACATTTATCAGCGCCGTACAAGTCTCACTTTCAAGATAGTTGAACCCGGATTTGCGCCTAAGTGATTTTTTATATCCTTCAAAATCATCGAGTAAGGTCAAAAGGAAAGTGGTCTACAATAAAAAAATTACAATGACGTAATAATTTGGTCATTGACATCACTTTTAATGTAACTACTATTTAGTACTTTAAATTGAAAGATTTCACTGTTAACTAGAAATGAACAAATCAAAACTTATTTCCGACAATGGTTAGACGGTAAATTAATCCGATAAATGAGTGTAGAAGGAAATGGAAATATAACTTTCATAACCTTATAAACGTTTACACATGACTTCGTAACAAAACAGCCACTTGACATATGCGTAGATAAAATATAGGCAAGTACTCAAGTACATTGAGGGCGCATACGTAAATCGAAATCCTTTCCGTTCTGTAGCATTTTCTTCGAGTAAACATTTCGCTGAGAAGTTGCTACTGTACAATTATCTTAGGAGCCATGTCAATATTCACGCATGGTCGTTCCTTTTGAGACGTTCCTTGCCGGCGAACGGTTGAGCAGTCACTACGGCTTCACGGCCCAACAAACTTCTTACATATGTTTCTATTTACCTTCTTACTTTTCCTTGTTGCGCACTGATCTTTTACACAGCATATTTTACAGAACACTATAAATATTTTTTCATTTTAGTTTTATAGTTTTCACAACAGCGCCTGTAATTTGTGATTAGCAAATGCTTCTTGACTCGCGGAAATCGCTGAACGGTAGTGAATTGCATGTTCTTAGCTTGTATGCTTACTTTTACTACAGTTTAAGTGAAATAAATATAGATGTTTTTTAAACCGTGGTATTTTAAAAAAAGAACAAATCTGTTTTTTTTTCGATAAACATAGAACCTGTTAGTTAAATGTCTTTTATTTTAATTAATTTTAGGTTATATTTTTAGCAATCTATTTGCGGTGTGTTGTTACTGCTTAACACCATTTTTAACAGTGAAAATATGTCTGAATTTATATTATTTGCATTGGAAATGTTCACACGAACGAAGCTGTTACCAATTCGCATTCAACCGTTGCGCAAACATTAATGCAACAGTGAAATATTACACGAAGCATATACGGAATAATTTACATATAAATTTTGTACGTATTTCTGTAATAACTCCAGTGGACTGTCGACGCCGACGACGCTCTCCGTTGACACAACTAACAATGTTACCGGGCCTTTGCGGTGACGCGGCTGGGGGAACTCTGTTATGAAGGCTGTAATAGCTCTCCCAGTTTCCAGACGCGGGATAGTTTAATAAAGCCTATTCGCGAACAACGTATTGTATTCAGAAACTAAGTTCATTAGCGACTAGCTAGTTACGAAAGCGTACGCAACCTGATTCTACATCTTTAAACTTTGCTTACAATAAACCTAGCGTGCATTGTCTTGTTAAGAACATCTGTATTGGATTTTAAATAAAAAGCAACAACGTACATATTTAACAGGTAGCTTTTATTTTTACATATGTATCCGTGAATATATTTCCGGTCACCGATCTGAAACAAAAAAAAAATCTCATAAATCTATGAAAATGTTAGTCGGCTCGCGCCCTTTTCAATAGCGGTCAAAAAGCGCTAGTTAAAATGTATGTAGGCATACATATGTATGAGGCTAGGATCTCGAGCGGGATAAATCACAGAGCAGGCGTTATGCACATAACTCTTGGATACGGACCACTTGACATTAGCAGGGACTGTCCCCTGTCACAGATAGCAATCTTGTAACTAGAAATGACTTCACATTTATAATTTAAATATGTTTTCCAAATGTTCTTGTACATTTATCTTACCTTTAACATAATATGAAATAGAACTAAACTAAACGTGTTACTTTTAAATTATTATTTGATAGCTGTCGCCCGCGACTCCGTCCGCGCGGAATTAAAAAGTAAGGTAAGATACCCTATATGTTCTTTCTGACCTTGTTCTACATCTATGCCAAATTTTACCGAGATCAGTTGGACTGATTTGGAGATATGTTATAACAAATATACATCCATCAATCCATGTAAACTTTCTCATTGATACGATTAGTAAGATAATCTTTATTATAAAAAATTTTAAATATGTTATTTGTCACAAAACTAAGGTAACAGAAATTCAATGAACTACCTACATATAAAAGTTTTTGTTAAATTGTTAACTGTAAAAAAATTCGATATGTACAAATTAAACGCCCCTACATAATACACACGATGTATAAAAATAAACTCCAAGAGGTAATGAAAAGTTTTTGTTATTTTTTTAAAAAGGTCAACTGTGTGTTTAATAATTTTTATATCATAATTCAAATAACATATATGAATTTAATTAAATACGTAATAAATTTCGTTTAACCTTTAAGATAATGATAGTGAAAAGGTTTACGTCAATTTTTTATAGCTTTTATACATTTGGTAATTTTTTACTTTGTTTTTTTTATCTACATATTTTAAAACGTATTTAAAATAAAATCTTGTTTTCAGAATACCATGGGTTAGGTAATTATTAAACCGGATTTATTTTACTATAAATTATGATAATCAATAATTTAGAAACATCATAACAGTGTCTAAGTCGTTAAATGACTTCATACTAACATATAAAAAGTGTGTGGATATTTCACCTTTAAATCCTACACAAGTTTTATTAACTTACTATTTTTTTTTATTTATATTATAAATGCAAAAGTTTGGAAGGATGTTTGTTAAAGTATCTTCAGTATAACTAAAAGGATTTCACTGAAGTTGTTTTCGTTTTTTTTTTGCTATTTTTTAGTACGAATATAATTTTTTTTTTAATATTGGTTTATTGTGTATAGAGATTGCCAGTAACTGGCTAGTTAATCGAATCTAGGATGGGGAAAAGGGTTGGTAATCTATTATTAAATCTCATTATTTCACCCTAGTTCCCTGTAGGATTATTTCTAACTGTCCTGTATTAACACACTTATAATTGAGATATATGACTTGCTGTTTATTTTGTTATGTTCCTATTCCTATAATAAATAATATAAAATTAAACAATGCCACTTGTAGTAAGATTTGAACAATGGGGATATATCCAAATCGCAGGGATGAGATTGCGAAGAAAGGTTGTCACTGGGACCTAATTTAATTCATTACGCGCCCGCCCCGCACTGACCCTTTCTCAACAAAGCGTAAATGACCGAATGCAAAATTTCGTTGAAATGCTACGAAAAAATATGTTATCAAAAAACGAGAAAAACGTAACAAATGATATGAGACACGTAGTGTTTAATTGTGAGTTTATTGAATTAGTTATAAATATTAAAAAGCTAAAGCCTGTGTAGTAATTATTGTTATTATAAACGTTTATAACTAATATCCGCTACAATAAAATATAACCTTGTATGAAACCAGTTCTGCATAAGTATATTATACCATCGATGAAAAACATATTTGTGTGTATTATAAATTTCTATACTATAGAGATATTATGTAAATTAACGAAAAAAAAAATTTGTCCTATGCTAAATGTAATATAAAGAAGTATCAATTACCAGCTCACTATACGTCCACACTAAGGGGCTCGGAGCCTATCTTAATTTAGGGTGACTAGGCCATAGTCAACAACGCTGGCCCAGTGCGGGTTGGTTGACTTCACTCATATCTTTGAATTTCTTCGCCGATATGTACATGTATCACCATGTTTTCTTTCACCATAAGAACGCCGGGTAAATTATGTACATATGAAATTCGAAAACTAGAAAAATCTCATTGGTACATGTCTGGATTCGAACCCAGAACCTGTAGATTATAAGTCATGTGCTTAACCCCGGACTTAAAGGCGCTTCTAAAAAAAACAATAAACCATAATCTACATCTACACTATTATAATAAAGCGTAAACACACACTTCTTTGTTGCCTAAGATCTCAGAAATTACAGCTTATTTTTGAATAATTCTCTTTTTAATAAAAATCCCTACACTCACGTCACATCACTTATATATTTTAACGCCATTAAACTTAGAGGGTAAATATTTTGGATAAAAACTCTAATGTGAGTAAAGAGTTGCTGCCAACATCAAGGAAGCAAGGTTGACATGGTTTGTCATCATGTCATGTCATTTTGACATTTGCAATTGATAATTTGACTCATGTAAACAGTAAAATTTTCATAATTTTACGCGGATGAAGTTGCACGGGAACAGCTAGTCTTATAATTCTATTAATAATTCAGGTACGCTTAAAATAAATCTCATAAATTAAATTGAACCCTTGACTGAACAGTTTTGTTGATAGTACCTGCGAACTGATATATTAGTTCCGCCTTAAATCCCACGCCTAAACAAATATTTGCTTTTACGGGACAATTAATATTTTCAGGACGTGGGTTCACGTTAGCTTTATTCGTGTTAAGCCCGAGTTAAACCTGACACGGAATAAAGGCGAAAAGGTTTTATGTTGCAAACATACGTGCATATAACCTTATTTTACTTTTTGTATACGTCACGTTAAAAGATATGTACATGCTAACGTTGAAAGGTATATTTGAGTTATTTCAGACATACTTTTAGTCTGGTTTTATGTTACAGAAACGTGTGATATTTACGCCATGTCAGTGGATGCTATTGAAGTAAATTAAATTAAAATAAAATAAAACATCATATAAACGTAAATAAACCTAATATTTATTTCTCTATTAATTTAATAATTGTTCAATTATTACAATAGTTATTTACAATGCCAAGAGTAATAAAAATAAGCATTTATAACTATGGTTTTTATGATTCAGTTCTACCGGTTTGTTTTTTTGTTGCATAACTACAAATCTACAAATGGCAAAGTAATTCCTATCAAGTTAAACTTGTTTACCGTCCAGTTGGAAAATATTTGGATGCTTTGTATAGAATTGACATTGGTTCAAGGTTGAATGTGTTAAATTAATCAATGAAAATAAACTCTCTCCATTGTATTTCCGTAATCTATATCTATACTACTATAATAAAGCGTAAATACACACTTTGTTGCCTAAAATGTCAGCAATTACAGCATATTTTTGAATAGTGCCTTTTTAAATAAAAAGCCCTATATACGTCACGCTTTAGGCTATATATTTTCATGCCATTAAACTTAGGGGGTAAACATTTTGGATAAATATCCTAATGTGGAAAAGAAACCATAAGTTGCTACCAACATTAGGGAAGTCATGTCATGTCATTTTGACATTTGCAATTGACACATGTAAACAGTAAAATATTTTTTTACAATTTCATGCGGATGAAACCGCACGGGAACAGCTAGTATAGGATAAAAAAAGTTCATGACATTGAAATAAATAACAATAAAAGATTTTTGCCTTTATATTTTTTTTTGTCATCATTCTGTGTTATTTAAACGGACAAAAAAATAGGTGATTAAGCAGTGGCATCCTACGTTTAGTACATCTTTGTATTTGTAAATAAACAATGGTAGTTTACTAAATCGTCTCGGATACCAACATGTTACGGTGCATCCTAATCTATCCGTGTCATTAAATGACGCATGTCATAAATAAGGAAAAAAAAGTAAATTATATTCTTCTTTGTTTTATAAAAATGACTAATGTAAAAAAATATTATTCTATAACGCATCATGTCATTATTAATAGTATATTTAAGTGAATAAAATAAATAATAACATTAGATTCATCAACAAAAATAGGAAGACAGAGATGTAGACTTAAAAATAATTAATTAAAAAAGTTTAGAAATAAGATTTTTTACCTTCATTCTGTCATAAGCAGTTCATTTAGTTGCCAGTGTCACCGACATCATAAAACGATTCCATTTCCTTTTTGTCTAAATCAGCGAACATATTAATATCGACTACGAATCCTTTGCTTTCTTCATTAGTTCGAATAATATCTTTTAAATTAGACTGGAAATTTTCATAATGCTTATTCCTATCGTTCTCATCTTTATATACCTTACTATAATCTTTGACGAATTTCTCGAAGAGTTGCGGCGCGTCTTTCATATCGTATTTGGGCTTTTCACTTTCGTAGTTATCTTCTAAAATTTCTGTATCTTCTGATATTTTCTCTGCTCTGTCTTCACGATATTGATAATAATCATAGAATGATTCAGCATTGTATTCCATCGCCGCTATGGCACTTATCGTCAATAATGTAATTAATATTAATCTTTTCATGGTTGTATCAAGTCGCGATGTGATTACTTCACGTATCATGAACGTCTGTCCGATGACTACGTTCAACGCGACCTCGAAAACTTGTTTCTAGTGGATTGTTATTTTTATAAGCGTTACGAATCTTTGTTTTTTTTTTTTTATTATTTACATGCGCGTAGAAAATCAAAGGATTATAGAATCTTTTACTGCCCTGGCCGCATTTTCTGCTTCACGTATTTGTCAGGAATTTAATAATTATAAAATCTGAGATCCATATCTATACTTCTATGCTACTTTTGTATTTTTGTATGTAGTTACGTTATCATTTAGTAACGCAGGTATTATTTTTACTATCATTTTTAATTGTAAACGAAGTCGGGGGCAGCAGCTAATCATTGATATAGGATACATTTTACAAATGTCTTTTATGACAAATTATCTGGCATCCAAGATATAAATAATTTTTAAAACAAGTTAAAGTTGGATACTAAGTGTATACTCCGAAACAACAGATATTTGCCTAGGGGAGACGGTAGCAAGACAAAGAAGCTTCTCGTAAAATATACGGAATAAAAAGAATCTAAATTATATTTTTTATTGTTACATTTTAAGGTTCAGCCGGTGTGAAAGCGGCTCAATGGTGGAGATAAAGAGAAAACAAAGCTTATCAGTGGCCAACTGTAGGTGGGTCGCGCACAAAGCCCTTGAATTACGCGACGGCCCGACTTGGCTCGCTCTTATCTGTCAACAAAATTTTCACCTGAAATGGGTACTTATAGGAAGGGAACTGACAAGAGGTATGAAAACTACAGTTAGAATTATTTTGTGTAATAAAATGTGCAATTAGATAAATAAATACACAAGTAAATATATATTGTGAGATTGGATCAAAGCAATTGACCATAAATTCAAGTTAAAGTGTTAAAAATAATTCTGCGGTTGTTATTTTTTTTAATATTTTTTGTCCTAAAATATAGATGTACAGTAAGCCAATAGATAAACATGTATGACGCATACAAGATTATTATAATAACACAAGATCTTTGCGTGAGTAAATAAGCGGTCATCAGTGTTTTCTTAAAGTTAATAAATAAATAATAATTGATCATTTACATATATTACAAAGAGAATTAACTGTTCCGTAAGATAAAACAACATGAAAGTTGGAACAGATATAGAATAGGAATAGATTACAAACTATAATAGCCAATAAGCTACTCACTTTTTTAATTCTGTGTAGATTATGTCGCCAGAAAAATGTAGTATTTAAATATTATTTCATTACCAGAAAGTTATTCTATTAGCAAGTAGCTACAATTCGTATATTTCAGTATTTCAAATGTCTACAAAAACAATATAACGGATCGATAGAAAGAATGCGTATGCTTGCAAATTAAATGAAATATTCGTATTTGTTCAAGAATTTTTTGTTCAAAAAACATGTTTTTTGGACATATATGGTCCTAAAATGTCAAAGTTTCATACGGCTTATGTCAACTTACTCAAACATTACCCTTCTAATAAATGTAAAAGTTCTATGTAAACGACACCGTTCAGGTCGGCCGTCCGTCGGTCTATTGCACAAGTTTAGTAATAAATTAGTCAGTTAGGCTTGTTGGACGCAGATAAGTGGATCAAAGTAAGGATTACCTTGCTTCTGGCGAGTCACTGTTGCTACTTTTGAAACAGACATAACAAAGGCTCTTATGTCGTCCCTCGTTCTGCAACAAATATGAACTTGGAACTTCTTTAACTCTATACAAATAAGAGTTGCAAAAATAATTCACAATGTAAAATGTAATTATATATTATTAACAAACGAAACACGCAAATTAACTAATTTCAGGCTCAAAGCCTTAAGCCTTTTAACATGTTAATTCCCAGCATACAAGACAGGTGGAGTTATGTAATAAAGAAAAGGGTACCGCCCAAAGGGTAGCCAACATCTTCTTAAGATTTAATTATGAGGGTATATCCCCTACGTTGGCCTGTTTGCTCAATTATCCAAACATCCTTTAAGTAAGGTGGCCTCGTAAAAAGTAAATAAGCGCCTAATAGCATCTCCAAGAAATGGAATTAATTTCTTACTCAATGAGCCAAATTATGTTATTGAATTACACAATAACATCAAGGCGAAAAACAAAAGACTACTCGGTGCTAATAATCCTGTGTTTTGTCTCTGAACACTTTTATAATATTAATATTGTTGTTCCTACGTAATTCTTCAATTAAGGGGACAAATGAATAAGAGTTTCGTTGTAATGTGCCTACTAATATTTCTAAGCACGTTAATTATTTTATATCCATATCAATACTGTGTAACTAGTGGAAGATGTTAGATGGTTTGCTTTCTTCAAGCGTTACAAAATTCTGTAGCCAAAATTGTTGTTCCGTAACTCTGATCAATATACCTTCGAATTGCGTAGTTCGTTATTGTTTCGTATCCCATGTTATTCAGAACCTTCCGCGGCCGTGTGGAAATAGCCCCGTATCTTTATTCTGGGGTCACCCTTGATCCGCATAAATTCGACTTTTGGGTTCACGCGCAATACTTCGAGACAATAGTGACATGTTTATAAAATTGTTTTTATATTCTTCAGGGTTTTGCATTTTTATTTATATAAATTAATGTACCTAAAGATTAAAATATTAATAATAATAGCTAAGTATAAAATACCTATAATTAAAAGTTATTTATTTATTACAGCTCTTATATACATTTTGTTATCTTTATGTAAGTTGGCACGTCTATTACTTATTCCTTAGCGTACGCGTATGTAAATTCCTTATCTTACATGTATCTTATTTTCCTCACTTTTACACATTTTCATCGGTTCCACTTAATAAAGATTGACAATGAGGACAGCGAGTGTCGGGCGTGCATTACGTATTCAGGAGGCTCGACGTTGCCGCTAACGAGAACACGAGATAAGTTTACAAACGTCGTTGTCTTGAATTCCCAAAGACGTTCATTCGAGGCGTTGATTAAACATCGTAGGAATGTTGAGTGAGTGCGGTGATACTGTGCTACGCTGCTAGGTACGTGTTTGTTTGGATACAGTATCGAGCTGTTACGTCTTGTCTACGCCTCACTTCTGTGACTGTTATTTATCTTTTGCGAGACTTGCGAATTCAGATAGTATTGGAATCTTTGTGACATGACACAATCAGCGTAATCTAACCTTAGTGTAGTGAATGGAAATTAATTCCAAGAATTACGATTGTTGGATTTTTCTGTTAATGCTTTACCAGAAAAAATAACTTAGTAGTTACATACATTTACCCTTTGATGGAACTCTAAGAAAAACAACTATTTGTTAAGATGTGTTCTTTTCGCTAGTTTGTACAAAAATGTATTAATTATGCATAAAATACTAATTAACAAATTTCCAGTCACGAGTTACATCAAATCTGATTTAAATTAAAAAGCTATCGAGTAGACTAACATTACTCAAAGATAATTGTCAAATAGATAGATGTAAGATAATTGAATAAAGACAGTGGCGTATTGAAATAGGCTGGTTCGTTACTCCTAAACTAATATTCGCTCACGATACCCACGTCTTAGTGTAATTTTGCAAATGAGGAGTGGCTCGGAGCTACGGAGTTTTGTCACGATTGAGAACCTTCGTACACATTCGTTTGCTCATCCTCTAATGGATTACACTGAAGACGAATCTCAGATATAATTATGATTAAGAACAGAGACATAAGATATTTTCCGATGCAAAAATATTCATGTACTAAGTTGGTCATATGGTTAATTTTAATCTGTACGTTGTTCAGATGTTGCTGTAATTATTATGTTTAAGTTTTTTGTTGTGTAAATTCACATCTAACCCAATGACAGCCTAGAGAAAAGTCTCCATTCCATTTTTCCGAACTGACAATCACATTGTATTTGCTTTTAGTTTTTCGGATTTTTTGCACGCGCACCTGGTTGAATTCGCCGGTTTTTTGATGCGTGTAAAATCTGTGGGAATCTGGATCCAACTTGACGTTTAAAAAATCCATTCCGTATGTGTAATCGATACTCACGTCTAGACAGACAGTATCCGAAATAGTGACAGCGTTTTTTAATTGGAGTGTGGTTCCATTTCATATAACGCAATTCTTGCTGTAGCATCCAAATTGAAGACGTGAGTGACGTAAAATAACTTTTCTTTTTTATGGTTAGTTATCTATTTTTTTTCTCAACTTTCTTTATTTATTAAGATGATAAGCAAATATTGAAATGTATTTAATTATATTTTGGATGTTTATTCCAGTCCAATTAAATAACACAATAGTCGCAAATAAAGGACGGCACAAACAATGGATACGATATTTCTCTTGTAAAATATCATCAATATAATTGAATAAACGCTGGCACGAGGAGCTAAGATGATACAGTTATCTTTACATTGTTTTAATGAAAGATATTTTCTTAGGTTGGTACAATATTTAAAGCCCAGAAGTCAAATATAAGTAGTTAATAATTATTTTAAACTATACAATAACAAGTTGTAATAGTTCACAATTTAATTACACATACATGGTCTATTTATTACGAGTATCTATATCAAAAAACGTATATGTATGACTAAAAAATTGAGAAATGTAGGATGTAGTCCTATAAAAATTACATGCGAGTTTATGACTATAATTTTTTTTTAATGTGACACATCTACAAGCACTGCCTTCCGAATGAAAAAAAAAATAGTGAAATAATTCTACGGGGGCCGAAGATATGTAGTAACACACATAAAAAAACAGGGGAATTCAAAACTATCTCCTGTTTTTAGATGTCGTTTACAAATGTGTTAACTCTGCCTAATTCTCTTAGTTACAGTCGTGAGTGTTTATCCTAATTTACATATTAATGTTATTTTAAAGCATTCCCTTCATACTGACCTATTATTGTTAAATTTAATATGAAAATAAAGTTACCGCTTAAGTTTTAGGAGACGGTATATTCGGTATCTTTACGTTCTAAAGCTCGCAGTTTAACTACGTGTTCAGCCTACTTGGCAGATAACGAGAACTCAATTACAGGACGAGTGCGCCAAAACGTGGATGATTCGACAAGTATTCCAGTATTCGGCCGAAG